CATAAACATGACACTACCCCCGGGGTTTACACAGACGAGCCGGCGAAGCAAGAAGAGCGCCAGAAGAAAGGGCCCTAGCCGGCGGGGCCCAGCCAGGACAAAAGGAGGTCCCACAAAGCGCCTACACCGGCCGCATTTGCGGTCGGGGTAGACGACGGATGGGGCCCACCTACGAAGGCTGTCCAGGCCTACACGAGATGAGGCAGGATAAAGAGGGATAATCCCCCTCGATCCCAAATCATTGAGGCCAATTTCTAGCCATAGAATAATGGCGGCGGCGAGTTATCTTCTTTATTCATAGAACAAAATAATTAATGGAATATTTCACAACTAATTAACACCTTCCAAGGTTTACTTTGCGTAGATTCTTTATGACTAAGGATTTTCCCAAGTCAAACTTTTGTATTACTGTAATTTATTAGACATATTTCAAGAGTAGTTACAAGTACAAGTACCTAATATTTAAAATTTCTGCAATTAATGTGAAATATTTAGTTACATGTAATATTGAACATGCATTGTTTCCAAAATTATGTTCACAGTGAAATGTCGAAAACTAACTCTTTTGTTAAAGTTTTCCTTAGGTGAGTTAGATTTATGAATAGTCTGTTCATAATATCATAATTATAAAGACAAACGTCCTTGAAAATCCGACAAAAGTACCAAAGATTAATAACCATTAAATAATTTTATTGTAAAAACTATGTGCAATAACAACTTGGTTGTAAAATATAAATAAATACTAGTTATATCACAGCTGGGTGCTGCATATATACATATTATAGTACAATTATATTACAAAATATTTGTCTATTAGTTTTTATACACAGTTCTTCAGATCTGTTTCAACTGAAATGTGAGAATAATAAGACAAACAATTATTTTGACAGAAACGGAAGAATGTGAGGTTAAACATTCATTGTTCCAATTTCAATCGTCTCTTTTAATCATTTTAAACCGTAGTTCTCCATCGGGAGCATACATAAAAGTTACTTTATAGTCAAGGGGTTCGTGGTGGTATTCCAACCTATAAGACCGTATAAGCTGAAATGAAAAAAGATTACGTCAATAAAAATTGAAAGTTTATGAAATCATCGTACCTTAGCTAACAACACCTGCATTTCCAAATCCGCAAATCTCCTACCAAGGCACATTCTAGCCCCATAGCCGTACGGTAGGGAAGCGAAGGGGTGGAGTTTGTAGTTTTCACTCTCAGTTTTCGTCCAACGTTCTGGTATGAATTTGTCGGCTTCTGAAACGTATTCACCCATGCTGCCTGTTACCAGTGTTGGAAACACAACTTGGACCTAAAAATTTGATAACTGCCTATAAACATTTTTAGCAAATTTAAGCGTTAATCATTTATCGTATTATAATATCATTTTATGGTAATATCTGGAAAAGTGGCAAAAAGTTCATTATTTTTGTTGTTTTATGAAGTGTACAAAATAAAGGAACAAAAATTGCTAAATGAAAAACTTACACCTTTAGGAACTTTGTACCCAAGTAGTACCATGTCTTCCTGCAAAGTTCTACCATTTCCAATAACTGTTGAATATAATCTGAAAAGTATGAAAATTTTTATTGGTATTAAATATATGATTTAAGTATTTAAAAAAGTATGAGTGAGACCTCCTAAAGCCGGTCCTGGTTATACGCTTAACCGCCGGACCGTCAATTGTTATACTTTCTACTCTCACCTAAAAACTTCCTTGATAAATGCCTTCAAAAACACCATTTGATCTAGTTTCTTCGAGTCTAGCGGATCGTTGGGGTGTGGTAAAATCTGTTTCAGTTCCTGATACATTTTTTCTTGTTGTTCTGGTCTCGTCGCCAGCTGATACAGAATTGAACATACTGCCATTGATATCTGAAATTTGAAATTATTACTTACGTTTTCAGATTGTCTCGAATAGCAACGCCTGTTGATAAAATGTCATAATAAGAAAAAGTTCACAGAAGCATGCAGTTTATTTCATGTAGAACGTATTATCTATAACTCATTTTTCGAATAAAAAAAAACAACCGAATTTCTAAAACACCTCTTGACAAAGTATTTTTTTTCTATTTCTAAAATTGCTAAATTTTAAGTAAAAGGAGAAGATTCTATTTCAATCGATAGATCATTTACAAATGCAGCCCTTTTTCATAAAATATCCATAGACGGGGAGAATATTTTCAGAAAAAGGGAGCCGCATCCGCCGGAATCTCATATAAAACATAATAGTACGAACAATGAAAAGTGATATATCATTACAATCTTTAAAACGTACGATCATTAAAGTATACAAATACTCATATGTCATAGTGATATAATCGCTGTAGACAGTAATACGTATTTTATTTATTCTTACCATTATCTACTGTATTATCTATTCGTTAGAATGTAATATATGTGTAATGATTTGTTTACATTCCGAATTATCATAATATTTAAATGCAGTACTATCCATCGATTTTTGAGGGTTACTACAAAAGCAGTTCATTGAAATTTTAATGATATTGTGGAATATTTCAACTCCATTAAACGATGAAAATGAAAGCTGAAATCACATTGTTGGCTTAGACTATGTGACGTCACAACAGTAGTCTAAATAATGGAGCTGCTATACTGTATTATAAAATATATCCATTAAATAACTTTGTATACAGGATGTTTTATAATTAGCCTATTAATCTTCATCGGTAGGTTCTACATTCAATAAACATAAACTCTGAGGAAGGTTTTATAAATTATTTTCGAAACTTGCAAGATTAGAAAAACGATATATTCGAGAAAGTTTTTCAGAATAGGTCACAATTCTAAAATGTGATATAGAAAACTGACCAACAAGTAAAAATTGCAGAATCAAATGCCTCATAATCATTGCTAGATTCTACGTTGAAATTATGGACACTCTGTACATACAGGGTGATTCACAACTTATCCAAAAAATTTGGGAATAGATCTGGCATGAGAAATGGAGTCAATACCGTAAAAATTTTTTTATAAAATCCTTATAGTTTCCGAGAAAAAAATTATTGAAGTTGGACAACTGTAGTCACTAGCGTCAATCGCAAATTGCAATACGCGTGGAGAGCCACGTGGCCTCAGCGACTCCGAATACTGAAATCCGATTTTAAAATTGTCGTTGCGATAGTGTTTACCTATTATCCGTGGTGTTTACAATAGTTTTTTTAGTAGTTAGTGTCAAAATGGCTTGTGTGAGTGAATAGCAACTCGGAGTTAATGGATATCGTTTTAATTTATGGTGAAGCAAGACAACATTTGTATTATGGACCAGTGCCGTGCAGAGGTGTATTTTTAAATCATTTTCGAACTACCCTTTTTGATTTTTTCTTTACAAAACTGTATACGTAAGAGTCCCCTGTACATCCAATTTTTTTTTTTTTTAGATAAGTTCTGAATCAGCCTTTATATTAAGTTTTACTTACAGTATCAATTCCAACTAAAATAAGGTCCAGTGCCAAAATGTAGGCAGTTTTAGGATCCGGTTCATTGGCCAAAATTCGTTCCACTAGAGACAGCTCCTTTTCATCTAACACTGTTTTTGTCTTCAATTTTTCCATGGCAGCATCTATATGCTTCATGCAAACTCTGAAATTATGTAATAGTGAGCACTTTTAAACCTTTCAGATCATTTTAGGGCAATACTTACTCTATAAAGTAGTCCATATTCTTCACATATTTGGTCCAGATCGACGTGGGAAAGTACCTCCAAAACGGAAACCTTAATTCCAGGATCGCTATGTTCCTCAGTGCATACTTGGCAGCGTCTATTATTTTTTGAGGTTCGGACTCTGGGGACAAATTTGGATCTAGGCAACCCAATCTAACATCAAGCGATACTCGTCCAATGCCTGAAAAAATAACCATTAGTACACAACTGTAGAATGTTTAATGATCTAAGTTACATTCTAGAGACCATTTATGAATCTCATTATCGAAATCAGCAGGCATCTCATCGTTTTCGTCCTTCATTTCAAGCATCCTAAAAATGCGAGGAGATTATTTAGTTAATCAATTCACGAAGCATTGTTAATTTATGTCAGTGATGAAGTAATATGTTTGTGTATACAATGTTATTTTTTTTAGGTTTGTTAAATTGCGACGGGAAACTAACCATTAAAGATATATTAAAATTTTTTCCTACCTTTGAATAAAATCTTTGGTGACAACTTCTATTGGCTCAATATACTTTTTCACTGTTCTGAGTTGAAGAATGGGCTTCTGCACTTTAGTCCTGAAGAGCCTCCATGGTTCTCCATGCCTGGTAATAATAAAATTTAAGTTCATTCCAGTTAAAAAATGACACTTTCCAAAGTCAACAAAAACTTACACTCCGACAACTCCGGCCAATTCTCCGAAAAAGTTCTTCCTTATGTCGCTCTTGTATTTCACAAGACAAGGCATAGAAGGTCTGAAGGGCGTAGGCCCTTCCCTTCTGTAAACTTTTTCTATTTCATCTGCGTCATAGATGAACAGTAAGTCTGGTCTTCCTATCAACCCGGACAATTTGACGATCTTTCCATATTCTTGGTAGAATAAGGATGACAGTTTAGCCACGTCCGAAACGTCGTACTGCCCGACTATTGGTAAAAGTCTCCAGGTGTTTCCCAAAACCGGTATCGGTCTTGGTCCAGGGACTTCTGAATAAGGTTTGACCCTTTCTAGATTTTCCGAGTGTGGCTGAAGGATTTCTGACTCTGTTAGGACGGTGTGAGATCGGCTTCTTGTGAAAATTTTGGAGAGTTTATCTATTTTATTAGACATGGTATGAAAAAAATCTGAAACATAACACAATAATTTAATGAACGCCTTCTTAGACCTAAACAAATCTATTAATCGAATACCAGTATCAAAATACTTAATTTAAAAGTTACGAACTTTCTTTTTTTTTGTTATTTTTTTTTAATGTTTAGGGAATCTTAGTACTATTGGCACTTAGCATTCGTTCAGCTACAATACAGCAAAAAAATTATTTTCTAATTTTCTTAAATTTTAAATAATATAAAGCGGAACTACTTACGTTATCAACACTAATTATTCAAGTATATGTCAGTCCTCATTTTTTGTACAATTAAACTAATTCACCACGATGTTTTCCTAACTAACTTCCACAGAATAATGAATACGCACAGGTGACCTGCATACTTAGTTGCTTTCTCTCCTTCTTATTCCCCTGCTGTCGATTTTATTGTGGAGGTCATCTTCATGAATAAACAATTTATTTTGCTACCTAGTCATTAAATAGGAGACCGCCAAAATAAAACGAAGTGTTAATATTGGGAACACAAATATTCAGTTTACAATCCAAAAGTCTGAAAAGCCAAAAGATAAAGACACTGCTTCTCGACATAGAGAGTGTTAAAGTTTAAAAAATATATACACCTTTATTGAAATATCTCTGAAGATGTTTAACGTAGGTTGATGAAACTTGAACTAACAATTTCACACAAAAAAGACAAATGAGCCATTTAAATAATATTTTGTTTTAGTCATGGATAAAGCGACTGTTTGAATTGTTATTATAATTATATTAAAAATAACGTGATTTCATGATTTTTTTAGCAATAATTACCTATGCATGGTATGATATTTTACAACTTTTCGCGAAAACGGTGTATCCTAGATACATGCAACCAGAGCTTATTTTTGTAAAGCCTTTGGTGTTTTGTAATAATAGTGGAATTGGAATATCTTGCAAGCCAAAAAGTTGCCATGGAAAATTACAAGCCTCGTTACTCCCGAAGTTTAGTTTAGTCAAGTATTTTAGATACACCCAGTACAGCATAATAAATAAATTATTTCAAAAATTAAAATATATTTACAAGGTTTTAAGTGCAATATTTTATGTGACATTTTAAAGAATATATAATAAATCAAATGTGAATTAAAAATGTATAATTTTTGACCTGCAAGTTAGCCTTGGCATCAAAATCTGAACGTCGCTGATAGTTAGGCAACAAACCTGCTTAAATGCTTGTATAAATGATTTTGTAATATTTGTAGTACTTGTATCAAGTTCATAGATGTTTTTATGTATTTATAAAGTTTGCAGAAGGGAAATACTTCTTTTATGATACTATTTAATGTGCCACGCATTTTGATCATGGATATCAACTTCATTCAAATATTCAAACAGAAAAATAATTTTTGTTGTTTACATCTCGCAGAAACTTTTTTATAAATAATATGCATAATGATCAAAAATCGAAAAATTATACATATCTGTATTTTAATATAATGGCGATTAGGAAATAGCCATAATACATAATTCAACAAACATCCCTGTGAAAATTGAAAAGTGAGAACGACCTTTTACCGCCCGACGCCCATTACTGGCGCCCTCTTCAAGCAAATAGCTGACCTTGTCCAATCCGTTAGCTTGTTTGCAAACCAGAATTTGTAGTTTGAGAGTTTTATTTATCGGTGGCGTCCTCAACTGTCATTTCCGTAAATTACGGAAATCCAGGTTGTGCCGTCACCCGTCAGTTTCACAAAATCGGTTGGTGTGCGTACGTTATGTGTTGCTTTTTTCATTTATTTACATATCAGTTAATCTTCACTTAAAGTGTAATAACTTCCAAAAACTAATTCCAAAAGTGGTGGTGCGGGAGTGAAAGAACGCCGTTTCAGTTTGGATTACTTCGACTACTTTTGCTGAATTGATCAGGTAAGGATTGGTACTCGTGAGATGACGTTTTTGTTAAGAAAAGGGTTCTAAATTCATACTTCTGGATAGTTAGGAATGTTGTTATTAAAAATAATTAAATCCGGTTATTGTGGAACGCCCACTCTCTGGATAGGTAAGTTGAACTACCTGTAAGCCAAGGACAGTTTCAAGCACCTGTAGGAATTAAAATAATACCTCGACAACTAGGGAAAATAACACGTACACATGCTAATTGGGATTGGGTTGTACGAGACATGCATTTCCGATACATTGCAATAAATTTAAATGAATTTAGTGTGTACCAACTTCGCTAAAACACTCGATTTTTAATTGGAATTACAAAGGTATTAATTATTTATCGGTTGATTCAAACCTATCATTTACTTGATTGTAGAATACGCATTCATCAGATAAATGAATCTAAATAGTTAAACTACTTTCTTCTTAATTCTAAAAATTAGTTTTTTTTTTAATTTATTCGAAGTGGACATAACCACAAATAAAAAAATGAATATAATTTCTACTCTATAATTATTGTAATTAGACATTAATTCAAGCCGTAAACATAAAACGACTTGTATTTATATATGTATATAAAGTTTTCTAACATTTAGGATTTGTAAAATTATAATTCATGTTGGTATACATACATCTGTGGTGTTTTTAAAACAGTAGCGTCGTCTGGAATTTTGAAAACTACTTATGTATATATGATTATGAATTACTTAGGTAAGCATGTTTCTTGTCCTGAACTGATTTTTGCTTTAAACAGAATCGTCTCTAGAAAAATTAGTTGTTGGTAATATGTAATATGGTACTTTGTCTTAAATTTTTTGAAATTTTCAGTTATTTTGAGGTTATGTTAAGTAATCTGTTTTGTTTTTCATTCGAGCTAGAAGCCACGCCCCTTAACTCTACGTCCAAGTATTTTTGCAGATAGATGCCCTTTCTTATTTATAAAATTGATTATTTTGTTCTTGTTCAAAACTTTTAATTATTTCGTTTTAAAATTTCTCTCTCCATAAAGCAGAAGCGTTTCTTAAGTAAAAATTAACAATTCTATAATCAAACAATTCAGATAAAAATAGGAATTAGTAATATCTTATCTAGAAAATTTTTCAATTTTATATGTTGCAGCATCTGTAGTATGTCGAAACTGTGCTATTATAGATACGATATCAATCTTTAACGAATTATATAAAAACAAGCAAGCTATTATATTAGGATTATGTAGGAGACGCTTATCTTTAAGGTAAATATTAAATAGCTCAGGTGACAGATAATTTTATTGTAATAAATGTAGATATTTTTGCCAAGGTGGTACTAACTTAAATGCTGTCGTTAAATATCAATCGATTTTTTAAATAGTAGTGTTTACTATACTGTAAAATTAGATAGATGCGGATATCTATATCCTAAATTAAGAGAATATTGTGATAGTTAATATTAGTAGATTTGTATTTCGAGGATATAGAGACAAGATGAAACAAATGTATAATTAATCTTGTAATTTATTTACAAAATGAATCATTTCAAGTACCTAAGCATTTATAAATAACCATAGTATAATTTACCTTAACATAGTTCTTTAAATTTGCATTAGTTTAATTACTTTAAAAGCCTCAGTGGCGCGCATGTGAGGAATATACCTCAATTTAATTAAAACAAAGAAATTGATTCTTTGGTATAGGTACCATCATTGGAAAGTTTCAATTGTAGCGAGCATCACAACTATTTCCATATGTGAGAAATATGACACACTGAATTTTTATAATTATTTCAAATTCTGCTAAATCAAGCCTGAATTTTATCAATGTTAACCTTATGTTCCTACACGAATGTTACTTTTAAATCATTTTAATACCAACAATTTTACTGTTATATGCCTAGGAAGCACGCTCAACACAAAGCAAAGTAAATATTTGATGTAGATAAGTTAAGAATAAGTTTTCTGAAGTCGTACCACACACCTTCTGCGTTAATATTTAGAACCAAAAAAAAAATGTTGAAAAAAATTCGTTCGAGGAAGTGTTTGCGTTGCTGGAAATGCTCAAAGTAAGTCATACGATTGAAAACGTCAAGCAAAGGTAACATTTACAAATAATACAGTCTATAATTATACTAATCCAATGCTGTTTAGTGTTTTGTTCGTGCTATTATTAACTTAAATTGTTGTTGCGGTGAAATTTGTTATTAACTTATCAACATCAGCTGCATCGTACAAGGAAATATGCAAAAGGTTGACAGTGACATCATTCATATAAAAAAATCTTATCTTATTTAGTAAACTTTATATGCAAATCAGAAAAATATAAACCTAAGACTTGGACGTTGGAAGACTTGAGATGGGCAAACGTCATAAGCACCGTTAACACGGAATCCAGAGAATTTAAAATATCGTAATACATAATTTCCTTATATGTCTAAGGTCCGTGGGTAAATAGTACATGACGTAAAAATCAGGGATACGTGATACGTATACTCACTTCCATTTAAATTACTTAAGTATTACTAAAATAATAGAGAGAAATCGGGATGATGGGGAGATGACGCATGCGAGTATCATACATATGACGTAGATAATTGTTTATACACTGAGTTATTGCTGCGGTTTCTCTCTTGATCAAAGCTAGTATTAAGAATCTCTTGGTAAATGCAAATACAGCTCTGGCTTACTCAAAGTTCGCCCAAAAACTACACACAAAAGTCGTATTTACAGTTTTTTGCTTAGTGTTTGACACGACCATTAGACACGCAATATATCTATTATATCTGTAGACTTGGAATTTCAGGACATTTTATTTACTATGCAGAAATAGTTTAAATACACATTTGGCTATTCAAACATTGCCTTTCTGCTACCAAACGTAGATTGGCTCTAGCTTAGTTGTCACAATTTAATCATGATATTTTAATATTCGACAAAAAATGGTTTGTATTTTAACTTACGTGTCGCTGTTGTGCGCAAAATCTAACCTAATATTCCTCAAATATGTTTATTTTTCATTTCGTTAAGTGGAGACAGAGTACGCACCTGGGATGTACGATTTACTGACGGACCTTTAAATAAAACGTACTTTTTACATTTATAACATTCTATTTGAACTTGAAAACATGAAGAAAACAGCAAGTAATTTTAAAGTAACTGTTGACCCTTATTTCTTTCATATGTTTAAAAAATAAGCACCTACCTACTTACTGAACTTCTATGGGGAGGCAATTGCCGCTCCCTTTTCTTCCCCCAAACGGCGCCCCTGATGGTGATATGTATATCAAGAAATGAAGTTCCACCTCCGTGAAGGATAAGTGATAAAATATTTAAAATCTCGACCTTGCATTCTGCTTCTTTCTCGAGTGTAAACATTGGAACAGTCTGATGCAAGCAGATATTGTATCTACCTGTTCGTGATAAACCGTTTTAATTGCCTTTTATAATTAATTATTCGCCAGATTCAAAGGCAGAAATTGAATTAATTATATCTTATCTGGTTTTATTGTGTAATCGCCAAAAATCAGAAATTTATATTCATTTTCTAGCATACTGCGTAATTTGCTGAACTTATTAATCCTCTTCTTTTAATTTCTAATGGATTCATTCCTTTGCTGATCCCAGATCAGTTAATAGTAGGCGGTTCACCTAAAAGAAAGCGTTTACTGTTGGCGGTTCAAGCTAAGCTTTCGCCCTCTAACGGAAATAATTTGCACTTTAAAACAGGCAGGCAGATAAAATGTAAACAAACCCTCAAGTTTTATTCAAAAGTATAGTATTATTTTTATTTAAGGTTAATTATGTAATATGTAGTTCTAATTTTAAACTAAATTAGATTTTTAAAGGTTGTTAGCCTTGATCATTATTAATAACATGTAAACTTGACGACTTCTGCAAAATTAATATGATAATGATACATTTTTAGGAAGGTTTTAGGCTTGATATATATTGAGTAAATACTGTAACTGAGGATTTATGCTCTATAAGGATTATTTATGGGCATTTTATATGGAATATAAATAAGTCATAAAATTTTAATTGGTTTCTTGGTTATTCTGCGTGTAAGCATGCGTGTGTATACAAAATTTTTAGGTCGTACGGAGGAATCAATTTCATGCAATAAATACTTAATTAGATTTATAAATGCGATTAGCTGTGTGAAATCTAATTTCTGTGTCACGTAAAATACGACGGCGAAAAAGGAAAAGCGTATATCGTTTCGTTAACATTTCGCTTGATACAGAAGCTGATTAGATTGGAATACACGTTTTTCGATTGCACTATTTGTATACATATGCGTGACAGAATGCTAGCGTTTTTAAAATTGCATTTGACTTGTGTCTCTACTTTAAATAATATTATACTTATATTATTATTATGTTTTATCGCGACTCGTGTAATCCATTTTCAAGTCAATAAAACAAAATTTGAGTAAAATAAAAATGATCCAAGTGTTTGTTCCCCATTAGATAATATACAAAAATAATGACACTATTTATGTCCGTGATATTACTTAAATATCTAAAAATACTCGAGACGGATAAAATCGTTTCTCAGTTTTATTGGAGTGCAACACCTCTTACACCCATCAAAATTTTATTGCTACGGCCGAATCAGGATTTTGGGGAGAGAATGGAATATTTCTGGATTTGTACATCTAATTTTAGAGGTCGCCTGAAATAATTATAGCTTGACCTTTTGTAAAACTGCCAAAGTCAAGCTAGATGAAAGTTAATGAAAGCTTGATTTTTGTTTTATGTTTCCAAGAAAACATGGCTGGTTACATTATGCAGCTATCCGTTTTTTGCTATTTAAGGAAATTTTGCAATATTTTTTCGAAAATGTCGATAATGCCCTTGAATTTGTATCATTTCTCAATTGGTCAATATTTTCTCCTTTGGGTTACACACATTGTTTGTTTACTTTATTTTTCAAGATCCCCCGCAGAAAGGACTGCATGGAGGTCAAAATAGGACCTGTTGCGGATCATAAAATTATTCTCTTATGTTTT